TCAAAATCGGTGTTAGATGGTCATGTGACCAACTTATACCGATCACACAAAGGTCTAAAATATTAATAAAATAATTTATTTATTTTCGAATTTGTTTTAGATGCATACTAAATACAAAAGAAAGGTAGCCGCAATGAGAGGGAATTGCACTGAAGAATCATTAAAAGCAGCTATTAATGCTTAGGAAATGCCCCAATACTTGTAAAGGACCCGAAACTTTGGTTTGTTTGAAAAACAAATATACGCGATGTAAATCCGGAAAAATAGTTTCATTTCATAAGTATAACAATTGCGAAAACCTAAGAACTCATAGCTATTAAAGCTGCTTCTGCTATGAAACCCGCTTCATCGAAGACGGCTCCAAAGCGTTGTGTGCCACTTTTGGGTTCAAAACTGAGAATTTGACGACATGAAGAAAAAAGAAGACTTAAAAAAACAAAACACCAAGTAAAAGACCTATCTAAGTCTAGAAATAATTACTGGCCAGCTTACCCATAGTCCTATGGTCATAAGAGATGGCCAATCGTAATTTTTTTTAAAACAAATTTTAAGGTCGGTCTTAAGACAATTTGTTCTTTTTTCTGTTAAATAATTAATAGTTAATTGTTCAAAGTTTAATAAGAAAAATTTTTTGTCTAAATATTTTATTTTGACAGCGTTTAGAAAAAACTATGGCCATCTACCCTGGTTTTACCCTAATAATTTTACGAAAACAAAAAAATTACGTTAACCTTCGTTAAATCCTGACTTGACTCACGACACTATACATAACAGATCGAAAAAGGTTCAAGGAAAAGATAAGCCAAGGTACTACTCCTTTTAGAAATGACCTTCTTGAGCGATGGCTATCCAGTAGGCTTCGAGAAACTTTGCCGCGTTCTATTGTTCTCCTCGCCCGACGACGTGTGTCAGTGCAGGCGCTCGTAGCATTTTTGTTGTTTGCAGATCGGATTGTGTCGCAGGTCGTCCACTTGTATAGGATGTGCATTTATACAAACCAGAAAAGTAAAATGGGGTCTACTAACATTACATTATTGCAGAGTCCGAAAAGCAAGGGATTTTTTTTTTCATTCCGTGATATATCCTGTAAAATATCGATAAGCAGGCAACTTTACGGCGGCGTTCAAGACTCTGTAGCTTCGCCTCTAGTGATTCCAAGTCACCTACAAACCTGGGCTTGACTTGACACGCTTGTCAATTGAATTCAAGGTGACCAGTAGGTATGTAGCAGATCCATCCCAAAGGTGGCAGCAGTACTACATACACGACCGGACTTGTGCTTCATGCAGCTGAAGCAACAGTCCCGGATTGCTGGACGAGTATGAGTTACAAGGCCGAGCGCCAGCAAATTTTAAGTAAATAAACGCATTATTATTATTTGTATTTTCGTCGCGAAAATGACCGAAAAATCGCACTTCACGCGCAGTAAGGGAAAACCCTTACTCTATCTCTAAACTCTCATATCCACTCTTCTTATACTTTACTATACGTTTAAACAAATCTGTCGATTTAGGGGCCAATACTACGCTATAGTATTGACGCCTAATTGTTTAAATTGATAGATGATAAAAGTATAAAGTTTATTAATAAAGTAAGAAGATACAAGGCTCGTTGAGGATGTGTATCTCTTACGTTGTTGTTACGTTAAGACATATGAATGTTCGTTAAACACTCAAGATGTCTAGATGAAGTGAATGCTCGTTTAACAATAGATGGTGTTTTAAAATCCTGTTAAAATCATAGAAATAATTTTTAGTAGTTTTGTTATTTTAATTTTGGTAATTTCGAAAAAAAAACGATGTGTTTAAAATATTAAAACGTATCACTAGCTTCACCCAAAATGCACGTTTGAAAGGATGTTGGAAGACTGTACAGCAGCGCAATAGCTGATCGTATCCTTTTACAAAATAAATATTCACCGACGCTGCGCTCCGGGGAATCGGGCCCTGGAGAGTGGCACCATTTCCGCTTTGAATAGCTAAACTTATTCTTTCGGAAGCAGACCTTCCGGTCACTGTGGCCTCAAAGAGACGAACTTAGGCGAAAAGCTCTTTAGTATCCCAAGCACCCAGGGCCTCCAAAGCAAAAAAGCACAAAGCTGTTGTACTGACCGCGGTGGTCATATGCGTGAAAGGGCTACAGAATGTACTTCTGTAATTGACTAATTCATAACAATCCGACGGTTCCATTGTTTAGATATTCCACGAGAGAAAGAGACTACTAAGCGCTTTTCGTCATCTTTTGTTAAGCGCTTAAGTTTGTCTGCGACTTTGTTTCCGAGCACGTACAATCCGAGTATCTTTAGCTGAATAGGCATCTTCTGAGCGAGCTCGTCACATCGTAGACCTCGTCATTGCTCTAGGGTTAGGTAGTAAGCAAGTCCAATTACTTTTAAAAAAAGTTTAGAGTTGTAAATGTTGTTTCACACTGTTAACAATATACGAACCAACATACGAACTTGCTCAAAAGGTTTATTTACGGAATTTACTATCTTAAGCCGGCGGCTATATAAAGCGAATTCCACAAAAGAACACAAGAACTGGTATGCTAAGACGCGACCGAGAATACTAGATAAATGGAGCACAAAGCAACAAGCATTCAGCGTTGGGTCGAATCGAGGTGGCGTGATCGTTCGCCTCAGGGGGGCTAGTACACAGTACATTTACTCAAATATTTTATATGCCCGTAAAAATATACATAATTTCAATAAGAAAGAAGATATCCATAATATTAACCTTAGAGCTAAGTCCAAACTCATGGTACCACGATTTCGTTTAACCAAGGTAAACAACTATTTTATGGGGAACTGTATACGTTTTTACAATAAGATTCCGGAGCATATATTAAGATTATCATTTCCTAAGTTTAAAAACTACATTAAAAATATTTTGATCGAAAAATCATATTACAAAATTGAAGACTACGTGTTAGATAAAGATGTATGGAAAGACGACATGGCTCCAGAATCCACACAAATTTGATTCAAAGTGTATTCCATAGCATTTAAGTTTATTTGAAAAGAGCAATCCTTAGAGTTTCTTGCTCGTCCTCAGGGAGGTCAGCGTAGTGAACGAGCAGTAGCTTAAATGTGACGTTTTCAAGTGTAAATTTATTTTACCTATGGAATAAATAATCTTTGACTTTGACTTTGACTTTAACTTAGTCTCATTCTCCGTCCGACATCCATCCGAAACAATTACTGCCAAATAAATAATACTCGACCTAATTAAAAAACAATATCAAGTGTGAAGCTTCACTCGGATCATGCGTCTTTTTAATTTCGTCGAGTATTACTTAATTGACAGTAATTATTACGGACGGTTGTCGGACGGAGAACGGGAGTACAGGGTCAGGAGCCACGGTCGCGGTAAACAGTGGACAGTTTCCGGGAACGTATGACACAACAAGTTGGTACGTCAGAATAAATAAAATATTCAATAAATAATGATAAAAATATTCAATAAAAAATAACAGTATTTTATATGTATTATGTGTTCTAAGAATAAGGTTTACTATTACGTAAGTATTTGTATTAGTTACAGTTGTGCTTAACTCGGAACATTGTCTGTTCATTAGTAAGGTGTGCTGGAGTAGCCCAAGGGTTCAATGGTTTAAGTTAACCCTTCTTGTTTCTTACACATTTAATTTAACTAATTTAAACAAACTGCTAATTTGCTGTTTTGGTTTTGCTAACACTAACATTTTGTTACAGAACAGTTATTCGTTACTTTTGGAAACAAATGTGATTACTTAAAGTTACGTACCTACTTATTAAAATAAAAAAAAATGTTTGTTCTTTACCAACTGAACTCACAGGCGGAGATTAAAAAAACAGCACTATGCTGTTTCGTCTTATAAAAAAAAAGTAATGATATAGTCAATGTTTTGGTCAATTGTGAGTTGTCTATAAAAATGTATGAATATGAATGAATAAAATTAATACATTTTTTTTATTGCTGATCGACTCAGTTTCATGTAAGAATCATTTCATTGTAAGGAACGAATAATATCGGGACAAAAAAAATTGATCAAATTTAATTAAATGTTTTTTGTATTATGCCATTTTATTTTTAATCAATTGAAAGATAGTTTTGCTACTTTACTTAAAGCTGTTTTGTTATCTGTACACTTATTGTTACCTCTTAAATTAGGTCAACTAAAGCCTCTCTACGAATGTCATATTAAATGTATGGGAGCGTTTAATGTTAAAATTTTGGATATTTCCAGTTTTTTTTTTAAGTTATTGATGTCGATTTACTCGTTAACCCTTAACTATAGTCGTGGAAAAAAATAACGCTTCTATAGTCGTGGGTCCAATGGACCCATGCATTTTTAAAAGGTAATAAAATGGAAAGTTAGGATATATTTACATTTTTTTTTATTCAAGCTCTTATTTAAACCTTAACAATTTTTTTTTAATCAACCGTAGGAACATATATTTCTATATATATTACGCACTTACTTATATCAGTCGTAATTCTCTTAATCTAAAATCAAGCAACTGAAAATAATGAAAAAAAAATATACACACGTGTCAAAAAACAAAAACAAAACTTTTTTCTTAGATTTGAAAGTATATTGTTTTACAACAATACAATAAAATTAAAAGAATTTCCTACTAAAAAAAACTGACACGTGTTCAATTTAACCTACTTATAAACATGAATTGCACACAGTTTTTGCACAAGTCATGCAAATTGGCTGCTGGCACTTTGTACACAAGTGGACAGTCTTGGCTCTCTTACCAGGCACGCAGAACGAGCATCTTTTCCTTTTATTCCTGTCTAATTTGAGGTTCTCTCCAGTTTCTGGTGCAGTGATACCAAGTTTTAGAATCGCGGCCATATTCGTTCTGAGTTGTATAGGTAGTCTTTGATTATAACATCTCTCTTTCATGTAAGGTTCACACAAAGATTTGGCAAGCCCTTTCAAAAATAACATTCTTGTCATTTTCGAAGCTTTTTCATGGGTCTGCTGGATGATGTAAGCATTCAGTGCGCTCATGTCCAGTATCCTATAAAGAATAGGCATTGGCCAACGACGCGTTCTTCGACTGCTCGAATATACTGAGCACATCTGATCCACAGAGTCGACGCCGCCTTTTGTGCTGTTATAATGGAGAATGATTTCAGGTTTCTTAGTAGACACGTCCACAGTGTTGTCATGATGCATCGAAGATACAAGAATGACGGATTTATTCTTTTTGGGTACATCACACACACCAATGTTGAAAATTTTGTGAAACCAAACAGTGATGATCCAATTTTCCGATCTTTGTGGGGCAAAAATTCCTTAGGAATCTCCTTCTTATTTTTTCTCATTGTCCCGACAACAGTGATGCCTTTGGATTGCATAATACTGACAAGTTCCATTGAGGTGTACCAGTTGTCAGTGGTGAGGTTACGGTTGGAGTTAAAAATTGGCCGGCATAATCTTAGACAAGCTTGTACTGGTATTGGTTGTTTTTGCTCCTCACTTGTCAACGTAAGCCCGTCAGTATTTTTTCCACAGTACAAATACGTATTGAGGACATAGTGTGTTTTCGAGTCTGCAAGACATTGCATTTTCAAACCATATTTGTTTGGTTTGCTGGGTATATACATTTTGAAACCACAGCGTCCGCGGAAACCAACCAGCATCTCGTCAATCGTTCCATTAGCACCAATTGAGTAGTTTGCCTGAGAATTCTCATTGAATATATTAATTAGTTCTGAAGTGATGCATCCAGGATCAGATTTTTTACGCTCTTCTCTATCTTCCGGATTGTCGAAGCGAAGACATATCAAAAGTATATAAAAACGCAGTGAAGACATGCACAGTCTGAAAATGTCTCTCCCAGTGCCATCAGTCGCAAAAAGCGATGTTATGGCTTCATGATTAGACTTGAATACAGCAGAGTATAGTAACAGACTCAAAAAACAGTCTAGCTCTTGTAGAGAGCACTCCCTCAGTTCCGTGCGATCTGTATCTATATATTTCAGTCTAAATGCTTCTAGTTTTTTGTTCGTCCAAAATAGTATTTTGCTCTTAATTTCTTTATCAAATATTATAGTAAATGCCTCTTTTGGCATGAATGGTTCAGCAGGTCTTGATCGGGATGTAGTACAAGGCAATCTGATAATATTATGGCTTCTAACACGAGTGTTTCTTGCAGGTGGGACTTTAGCCCATTTGAAGCGATTTTTCCCATAAAAGTAACCAGTAGAATGAGCTTCTTCAGTCACTTCAACTTCATTTTCATTAGAAACTTCGCTGTCAGATATTTCGGAATTCGATTCATGATCACTCGTTATGACAAAATCCTCGTCGTTATCTGAAAACTCATTATCAGAATTTGATATTACAGCATTGCGTGTAGATATGGAATTTTCGCCGTTTTCCCCTTCGTCGCTGTCTAAATCCAAGTTCAACCATTGCTCTAATATGTCTACTTGACTTGCAGAGACATTGTTCCGATTCGCCATGACTAGAAACTGAAATAAAAACAGAAACAAATAAAATATGTCACAAAAAAAACTTACGTATCCATAGTCGTGGGTCCATTGGACCCACGTGTAAGCCATTACTTACCGTAAGAGCAGCGAACAAAACCCGTCCGTCACACAGCGTGCGCTTTGACGTACTGCCGGAAGGTAAAGAGGGGCAGGGGGAGCTGCGTCGCCCGCGCCGATTTCTACACGTGTTTAAAGAATGAACATGGGTCCATTGGACCCACGACTATAGTTAAGGGTTAAGTTGCGTCCTTTCGATATCAGTTGAAAGCTTTTTTATATCTCTTATATTTATGGAATAATCGCCTGGGCATACTTAACGATTACACCCTGTATACATATATGTTTGATGACCAAATTCCTATTTAATTTAACTTTATATTCGACTTTGATTTCCTTTCTTCCCCGAAGCATTGATATTATAATATAGAACAAAACACAGTACATACACGACCGTATATGACCGGAAGTTTTTGTGCATGTAACAAAAAGGTTCGGTCATATATCAGCTTGTGGTCGTATTCATAATAACAAACGGCTTTAGCAAGACATAATTTAAAAATTTTCAAATATAAATTTAGATTTCTCTAAAAACCGAATTGAAATACATTTTGGTTTCGAATTTTGAGCCAAAATATTTTTGGCTGACTTTTGCAAGAGTATTTTTAAGATATTCTTTTTGCAAATTTTATACAGCTTTTGTTTCGGTAGATAGCAGAACGAAACTAAATTAGAGCACAAAGAAAAATTTCTTGAATCTGCCTGGACTCGAACAAGCGCCTGCTACCTCACCGGGGTCACCGCTCTTACTAAGCGCATAAGTAAAATAAATTTACACTTGAAAATGTTTTTTTAAGCTACTGCTCGTTAACTGTGCTGACTTCCCTGAGAAGAACGAGCAACAAACTTCAGACATTGTTCTTTTTAAATAAACTTAAATGCTATGGAATAAATACACTTTGAGTCAAAGTTGTGTGGAGTCATGTCGTCTTTCCATACATCTTTATTTAACATGTACTCTTCAATTTTGTAATCTAACTTTTCTATCAAAATATTTTTAATGTAGGCTTTAAAGTTAGGAAACTATAACCTTTCGAGTCTCAATTCTCGTTTTTTCACTTTTTAATGGTAGTAAAAACGTTATGATATTCAATAAAATATATATTGCAAAATTAAATAGTGGGTGTTCCACAAGGTCTGTTTCTTGGGCCATTGTTTACCATTCTGACACAATATGGTTTGATCATATCACATATCGTCATAAAATGTTACCACGCTATCAAGGTACACAAATGTAACCCACACAAAACACAACACAATCTCTCACTGAGTAACTTACTCCGAATTGGCAAGGTGACTGCGTCTTAGATATGAGTGAACAGTTTACCGACACGTGTAATATGACCTGAGATATTTTATGAAGGTCGCACAGAATCGTGACCGAACTGCTTAAAATACATACAAAATGTGGTGTCCAACAGGGCGATTCCCGTGTCCGTCAAAGTATTATGAATCATCAACATAGTGAGGCTTCATATGCTTTGTAATATTCAGTGATTCCGAACAAATTTCCTTGCACCCTCCTAAGTGATAGTTTCCAGAACTTTGGCTGCTTGTTCTACATAACAGGCTTAAATGCCAGTAACAATGAATATATACCCTTGTAGTAATTGTAGACTTATAATTTTCGAACGTGTACAGTCGATGCTCTAAGATACCTGAGGTTCTATTCACGTTCTCCGTCTAACGTCCGTCCGAAACAATTATTGTAGAATAAAGTACCTATGTAATACTCGACTAAATGAATAAAAACAATGTTAAGTATGAAGCTTCACTCGTATCATGTGTTTTTTAATTTGGTTGAGTATTACTTACTTGACAGTAATTGTTTACGCATTTGTTATTGAAATTTGTATTCTGTATTTAAGTAAGTACGTTAAAGATGAAATTGGCTTAAAAAGTTTCTTAAAACATCATTCCTTAATGATACAATAAGGAAGTCCTACCAAATGAATTTTACGGATCACAGAGGTTAAGTTTGTTTAAGACTTTTCTTAACATTTGTCTACGCAGAACCTGCCGAACCAAGTCAGGGTTATGTATCTATCATATGGCATCAACTGACCAATTTACTATTTTTCTTTTTGGAGTTAATACAATATGACGACGTTATTAAGACTTGTTCCAAGGAAAAGTGGAAAGCAAGCGTGGGCAAGAACGACCATGAATAAATACTTTGACCTAATGGAACGAAAAATGGGTGCCACGTTGTATATGGAGTTAAAGAAAAAGCTTTACGGAGGACATAATGGCGTTTACGATAAGAGAGTAGCTTTTAAGTCTACGATAAGAAGATTTGTGAAGTAAATTTTGTTGCCAACTGTAACCAAACACCGTTAATAGAGTGGGGACAATATTGATTCCATGTTACGATTGCGGTTAAAAGCTAAAACTTTAAAATATTCATTGCCAGCAGAAAATTGTTATCAATTTGGCTCGAAAACGATCGACTAAAAAATGGCAACACTGACAGCGGAAGTAGCAGTTAATAGTAGCTCTTTGTGAAAGAGTTTGTCCTGGGAGGCACAACCTGACCTATTTCTGCCGCCAAGCAGAAATGTGAGCGTTACTGCGTTTCGGTTTTGAAGGACAAGGGTGCTAGTGAAATTACAGGCACATGAGTCTTGTCAACTTACGTCCAGCACCCCTCAGATCTTTATGATTTCAACTGTCTCCGTGGCCTAACGGTTACCATGCTGGTCTGTTACGCAGAGATCCCGGGATCAATTCCCGAGCCGGGAGGAATATTTGTATCGCCTACATTTATTTCTCTCGAGAGTTTAGGTATAATTTGTGGTTGTCTATGAGTAAACCACAAAAAGAACTATGAGTGTCACTGTAACTGTTAGGGACATGTATGTTGCTTACCACCAGAAACACGAGGTATTCGTTTTCCGTTACTTGATATTATAAAAAAAAGGAAAAAGTTTCAAGGTGTTTTGCATGAGATGCCACAGTCGTCGGTTCAATCCTATCCTTATAGCTAATAAACTGTAATAACAAAAACATTGGTAAATTCGTTGTTTACAAATTTCCCTGTATCTTATTTTGAGATTTCCCAATAATGGTACCATAAGTATAGTCGGCACATTTATATTACCCAAGAGACACGTATGTATACATGTTGTAATTCAAGGCAAGTCCCAACTGAAATATCCAATAATAACATTTATGAGTTATTACTTCTCATAAGTCATGTTACATACGAAGTACACATGGTACCAAAATCTTCAGTTTCTGGGTGCGTACAGATCTGGCGAATGCGCCTTTTTGCGGAAGACTCGCGTGAGTTGTCGCTCTCGCGCCACATATTATTAACATGTATTTAACTGTACGCATGCAGCACGCGTGCAGCGCATATGCAGCGCGTTCGCGACGCATTTGCCAGCTGTGTACGCAACCTTAAAGTTACCACACATTAAACGCATGCAGTATTGAAAAATGGATTATGGATGGATACAAAAAATTGGTATATGTAAAATACCTATTGAAAACAGTGGTTTTCTTGTAAAATTCCAAGGTAAGTTTGTGTTTTTTCTGTATCGTGAAAAATTTTTTTTTTTAATATATCCTCAATTTTACTTTTTGTGTATGATTCAACCCTTTCACTATTATGCGGAATAAACCAAAGCCATTTGAGGTAGTATAGACTCTTAAATCTTTGAAATATGTTATTTCACACATTTTGCTGTCCCTTTACTACGAGCATATGTTTATGTCTTTAGTTACAATGTGTATTTTTTATCGAATTCTTAAGTCCGAAAAATTGGTTTGTATAAACGAAAACCGTAATTTCATTTACAATTTATACCTTGGTTGTGTTGTGTGTAATATGTACAATAGAATCTGAATAATTAAGAACTTTAAGTCCGTTTCCCATTTCTCTATTTTCAAGTGGTGGGGTTTTGTGCTGAACGGAATGGACGAGCTTTAGAGTGCCCGCGTCGGGGCCTTCGTTTTTATTATGTTTCAGAACTGTGAAATATTAATTTTAGCATCAATTTCCTCTAACACAAAACATCAAGTAATCGACATAGTCAAGTTTTTAGATTTATCATACAAACAGAATGATCCAAGCCTATTTTGGAACACTAATAACATAGATGTGCGAATTTATAAAAATTAGTTTTCTTACCATTTTTACAGTCATTAGGTACTTATTTGGCTTTGAAATCCGTGTCCATATCGAATTTCCAACTTTATCACCGTAAATTGCATCAGTTTCAGGTCTCAAAAAAGTGACTATCCTTGATATCCCCGTACTATACGAAAATAAAACTCTCAGATAGGAACAAAAAAAAACAAAAAAAGTATTTAAAATTTTTTTCACATTTTTTTCTGTCAGTAGTTAAGTATTAATCTAGAACCTCTTCTTTTTTTATAACACCAAGTGACGGGACAAACACGTAGTACACCTGGTGGTAATCAACATGCCTGTCCAGAACAGTTGCAATGCTACTCAGAGCTTTAAATCACTAAGATCCGCGGGGCATTAACACAGCGTCCGTCACCCTGAGACATAAGTTGATAAGTCTCATGTGCCTGTAATCTCAATAACACCCTTACCGTTCAAAACCTAAACATAGTAACGCACACATTACTGCTTGGCAGCAGAAATAGATAAGGGGAAGATCATCTTATCCACTCACGCGATGTGCTCCTCCTACCGCAAAATGGCGGCTATTTGGTATCGCAAATTAGAAAAGAATTCAGTTTAAATACAGTTTTTATAAATAAAAATTATTATTCTGCATTGCTAAATAAATACCCTCCGTACTACAACAAAAACATCTCAAATAAAATGCAGTAATACACCGCAAATCCTGCACATAAAAAGCACTAATGAAATTTTTAGTGTACTTGGATAATTATGATAATATTCCGTTTGAGTGGTTCTAACGTTTACCATGAAATTACTCCTTAAAGTATAGTTTATAAACATTTATATTTAGGGTAAACTTAAAAAAACCGCTACTTACGGTATGTTTTCAATAAATAAACACCGAAATCACCAGCCCAAACAATAACACACACGATTGTCGTGACGTATTTTTGAAGTTGTTTATTTTTTTTTAATTACAGACCCAGGCATT